AGGAGGCAGCCGATCAATGACTCTCACCATCGTCTCTCTCCCTCTCCCTTCCTCTCTCTGAAATCAATAAAGATATATTTTAAAAATAAATAAAGTGGTGAGTACAGAAATAAACCCATGTATTCATGGTCAGTTGATTTGCGACAAGGGTGCCAAGCCCATTCGATGGAGGAAAATAATATTTTCAACAAGTGGTTTGGAACAACTGGATAGCCACATGCAAAGAATTAACTGGAACCAATAACTCACAACACATTAAAAAACAAAACCCTTAAAAGTAGACCAAAGGCCTATATGTAGGAGAGAAGACCGTGGAACTTTTATAAGTGTAAACATTCATGTCCCTAGATGGGGAGACAGTTCGTTTCTCTTACTGTTTTCTAGATTCGTCTGGTCTGTTTCCTACGGGGTTCTGAGGGGTGGAAACCTGAATCGGGGGCCGACAGAAAGGGCTCCGTCTGAGAAGACACTGGGACCGCACGGCGGTGTCCTGCCGTGGTCCCTCCCGCTCTCCCCGTGGTTGTGACACCCTGGTGACCATTGCAGTCGTTAAGAACGGGAGAGGAGGGGAGGGAAGGCCTGTCGTCTGGGCAACGTCCCCAGGGAGCTAAAGCTGTACCTGCCCCAGGGAGCCCCGGGTTTAGTGCCTGCAGAGAGCTGGGGGCAGGGGTGGACGCATGCCCGGTGAAGTGGGGGTGACGTAGGGAAGGCACTTGTCGGTCAGTCACACTTGGGAACAGGTCCGCGGCCACCGCAAGCGCTCGGAAATTCGGGAGACTTCGTTCCCTGAACAGAGAAACTCCCGCCGTCGCTTTCTCTTGTGACCTTGTGCTTTCGGGGCCCCTGGGACTCCTGTTGCTTGGGGCAGGCTCCCCGGCACGCGCCCACCCACAGGCCTGGCCACGCGGGCCCTCCGCGCGCGCACACAGTGGACTAATGGGCTGCGATCAGCCCGATGGCCGACTGGGCCCGGCTGCAACAGGGAAGGAAACTCTGGACGCCGGCCCGGCTACACCTCTATAACTGCAACGGGACTTTGGGACCCCAGGGGTGTAATTCCACGCAACTGAAAACCGCTCATCCTCCCGTGCAAGTCTCAGAAAATTCTTTTTCTCAAGATATGGTAAGGACCTGACCCCCAGCACCCAGTGGGGAAGAGGGTACCCCAGCCTCCTCAGTGACAGTGGTCACGAGAAGGACGCGGATGGGCCCGATGGGAGGAGAGCCCCGGATGGGACGGCACTCAAGTGCCTTATCTGTCCAGGGAGCCCCGGGACATCTCCGTCGTGAGGGAAGTAGACAGGGCTTGTTTCCGAGGAAGACTCAACTGTACCCCGATCCTCGTGTCATAATGCAACTGTGAACTCATAGCTCTGTCCCTCCTATTACTACTCCTGCCAGGCTTGGGAATCAGGGCTGTTGAACCATCTAAAGACAAGCCATGGGGGTTGAATTTTGTGTAAGAGGCTTAGCCAGATCTCCTAAGCAGGCTAGGGGCGGGCGGACATCACCCTGGACTTCAGAGATCTTGGGAAAAGAGGGGATGTTGAGGCAGTGGATATATTGATGCAGAGCGTCTTAACTCGCCCATTCATTTCCCCCGTCTCCTTCTGATAACAGAGCGAAGGCAATGTAGCCCTAATTGTAGTCGAGAATAAAGAGAGTATTACCTTGATCAGGCAAAAGAGAAAAAAGCAAAAGCCCCGGGTGAGTAAAATCTCCATGTACTGTATTTAAGAGATACCCAGAACACCTAGGCCTGTGCGCTCCAGCTACGGGGTGGGCCTCTCAGGGGCCCAGAGTCCCAGCCAGTCGGGCGTGGACCCGGGGCTGGCTCCTGGCCCCGCCGCTCCCTTCTCAGCATGGGCTGTGGGTCTCTGGGTCTGAATGGCACCTGAAGAGTGAATGGAAAGAATGAAAACCAGCAAGAAATGCGTGGGGCCCGGGCCGGCGTGGCTCAGTGGTTAGCGCGTGGGTTGCGGACGGAAGGGCCTTGGGTTCGATTCCGGCCAAGGGGACGTACCTCGGTTGTAGGCTCGATCCCCAGCCTGGCCAGGGAGCGTGTGGGAGGCACCCAATCGATGTGTGTCTGTCTCACACCCATGTTTCTCTCTCTCTCACCCCCGTTCCTCCCTTCCACTCTCTCTGAAAAGAAATTGAAACCAAATCTTTGGGTGAGTATTAAAAAAAAAAAAAAAAATGTGTGGGGCTGGGAGGTGAGAATGGGAGGATTCTGAGTTAGAGACTAGAATGTTCAAAATGTGGAAGGGCCGGGAGTAGCCAGGTGAGGAGGGGGCTGGGGAGCCAGCGAGGCACCTGAAGACCATGTCGTGGGAGAGAGGGGTCAGCCGGGGCTGGCGCGGGGCAGAGTGGGCGCCGAGCAGCAGGCGAGAGCATCGGGAGGCCAAGCTCCCGAACGCCCCAAACCCAGCGAGCCCGGCGGAGTGGAGCGCGGCCACCGAAGGCCATCGCATCCAAACGCACCCCTGCTAGTTGCCCGCGGTCTCCCCCTCGATCCGAGGGCCTGCGAGGGGGGACGGGAGGACGCTGGGACCCTGAGGGCCAGGTCCCGCGTCCGTGGTGGCAGAGGAGGGCTCATCACCCGGGTCTTTGGCTCTTAGTGTCTTGCTAACTCCTTTGAACTCTTCAAAGAGGGGGGTGACTATTAAGAGAACCCAGGACCCTTCCAGGAAATCCTGGAAGTTGGTGGCGGGACGTTCCCTGAGGGGTTTCTTTTTATGTCTGCCCAGGAGAAAAAGACCAAACAAATCATGAAGATCCAGGCCTGGTGGCGGGGCACCCTGGTGCGCAGGACGCTGCTCCACGCGGCGCTCAGGGCCTGGGTCATCCAGTGCTGGTGGCGGGAGACCCGGGTCAGGCTGCACTCGAAGAAGCGGAGGGAGGCCCTGGAGAGCTATGTGGCCAGAGAGAGGGCGGTGGTCAAGCTCCAGTCTCTGATCCGCATGTGGCGCATCCACTGGCGATACTGCCAGGTGCTCCAAGCCATATACGTCATCCAGTGCCACTGGCAGCACCACGACTGCCACACCTGCGCCTTCCTCCGGGGCCACTGCGAGGTCACCACCACTCACCTGCAGTTCCACATCGAGGTCCTCAACCCCCCCCAGAGGGCCGGCTAGGAAGGGGCCCTGTTTCTCCTGTCCCCAGTAAAGCTCTCACCCTTATCCGCCACGTCTCCTGGTCTCCCTCAGGGGGTGGGAATTTTAGGACTTAGGCCAGGCTGCCTCCTTTTCTTCCTGGGGGAAAAAACTCCAGTGAGGTGTCCTCCCTATATGCCCATGGACCCACGTTCTGAACCAACAGGGACCCTTAGGCTACTGGCTCGGTTGTCAAAACAGAAACGACGGCCTGGCTGGTGCGGCTCAGCAGTTGAGCACTGACCTAGGACCCGGGAGATCGCAGTTCGGTTCCCGGTTGGGGCGCAGGCCCGGGTTGCGGGCTCCATCCCCAGGCGGGGGCGGGCAGGAGGCAGCCGGTCAATGCCTCTCATCATTGATGTCTCTCTCTCTCTCTTCTTCTTCTTTCCTCTCTCTGAAATCAATAAAGATATATTTTAAAAAAAAATCAAAATAGGCGTATCATGAGATCCAGCCATTCCACTTCTGGGTACAGACCCAAAGGTGCCCGATGCAGAGTCTCAGAGAGGCCTCTGTACACTGTGTGTTCACAGCAGCACTAGTCACAGTAGCCAAAAGGTGGGAGCGGCCCAAGTGTCCCCCCACGAGCGAATGGGTGAGCAAGGTGTGGTGCATACGTGCAATCGAATATTATTCAGCCTCAGAAGTTCTGACACAGCCTGCAACGTGGGCGAACCTTGAGGACGTGACGCTAAGGGAAATAAGGCAGCCACAAGGGGACAAGCACCGTATGATTCCACTCATACGAGGCATTTAGAGTATTCAAGTTCATAGAAAAAGTAGAATAGTAGTTGCCAGGCGCTGGGGCAGGGGAGAATAGAGAATTCTTGTTTCATGGGTAGAGTCACAACTTTGCAAGATGAATAAAATTCTGGGGGTGGATGGCATGTGATAGCTTCACACCAAAGTGTATGTAATTAATGCCGCTGAGCTGTTCACCTAAAATGGTTTAAATGGTAAATTTTATGTTATGTATATTTTACCACAATTTTTTTTTTTTTAATGTATCTTTATTGATTTCAGAGAGAGGAAAGGAGAGGGAGAGAGAGAGATAGAAACATCAATGATGAGAGAGTCATTGATCGAGCCCGCAACCCGGGCCTGTGCCCCCACCGGGAATCGAACCCCGATCGCCTGGATCCCAGGTCGACGCTCACCCGCTGAGCCACGCCCGGCCGGGCACCACAACTTTAAAATATGTTAAAGGCTGTGGGGAGGGGAGCTGCGGGACGGCCGGGGGTGCGATCACACAAACCCCGCGGGGAAGGCGCCCCGGCTGTCCGACGTGGTGGCCCTGCGGGCGCCGTTCTCCCCAGGGCAGCCCCTGCTAGCCAATGCCCGCCTGCCCGCCCAGCAGCAGGCGCTCAGAGCTCCCCGGGCAGGGCCCGCCCGCAGGCAAAGCCCCGCTTCCCGGGAGCCGGCGGAGCGGGTGCCTGGCGTTTGCCCTCAGGAGCTCCGCGGCCGCCTGGAAGTCAGCCGGACAGCACGCCGCGGTTACAGACCTGATGGTTCTTTTAATGGAAGGGATGTAGCCTGTTGCATTTTGCAAACCTGCGAGCCCAGGGAGATCTCGAGTTGGAGGTTCAGCTGGTTCTCCTTGATGTCGTAATGGCCGTGAAGAAAGCCCCGGCTTTGGCAGTTGTGCCAGCGCCAGTAGAGCTGGATGATCCGCGCAGCGTGGAGCAGGCGGCAGTAAGGCAGCCGGGTGAGCCACATGCGGACCCAGGACTGCAGCTTCACCACCGCCCGCTCCCTCCTCACGAACAGCTCCAGGGCCGCCCACCGCCTGCCCTCCACCAGCCGCGCCAGCACCTGCCGCCACCAGCGCTGGATGACCGAGGCTCGGAGCGCCGCGTGCAGGAGCGTCCGGCGCACCAGGGTGCCCCGCCACCAGGCCTGGATGGCCACGGCCGCCTCCTCGCTCTGTTTCATCGCCACGATCTTAACTCTCTTGGTGCGTCTTTTGGAAGCTTGGAAGAAAGAAGACACGGGACGTTGAGGAAACTCACGCATTTCCACCCAAAACTGTACCGGGAAGGGGCCCGGGGCCCCTCCCCACAGCCGCCTCTTCCTCTGACCCCTGGGAGCCGCTGGCAGGGGCGGGACCCGGGACCTCGACGGGCCCGTCTGCAGCGAGACGCGCGGGACGGCGAAGCAGATGCGGTCCCACCCGGCCCGGCCTCCTGCCCGGCACCCTGTCTCCCCGCAGACCCCTCCCGCCTGCTGGGAAGGTGGGGCCTTCTGCTCCCCCTGGCCTCCCACCTCTGACTTGGGGTCAAACCCTCAGCCGGCCGCCTCCCCTCGGCCTCGCCTCAGTGTTACCGGACTCCTCCACCTCACGCGCGACCGAGAGCTTAAACGCCAGCTGAGGCCCCAGTACAAAGTTCTCCAGCACACGCACATGCACACGCACACACGCATCCTGGACCCCAGTCTCCCTGCACACCGGCCTTCGCGTTCCCCACGCACAGTCCCCAGCCCCGTGTGCTCCGGGTCCGCACCCTTCAGCCTCCTTGACACAACCCCCACCCCCCGGCCAGACCCGCATCCCCCAGCCTGAGGAGGGGGTGCGGGGACAGGGCCGCGGCCGAGGAAGGGTGGGGCCCTAGCGGCCTGGCACGCCCTGGATGTGTGCCCCTGGGCCCTGGTGCGATATCGAGAAGCGCCCCTCCCGCTCGCTGAAGCATCTCCAGACAGTAAGCTACATGGTCGCAGGCCTCTGGGTCACTCCCCGGACCACAAGGGTCAGAGACGTCACAAGTCAAGGCTCTCCCAGCGCAGTAGCGCCTGGACCCATGCGCCCACGGGGGCAGGGAGGGCATGGGCACAGTCCCTTCGTCTAGCTTTTGCGCTCTCAAGCTCTGTTCTGTCGGGGTGATTTCATCATTGTCTTTTACTCTAATCGGAAGGTTTGCTAGCCTCCGTAATCAGAGCCTAGAAAGAAAACCATGGGCAGAAGTGAACACGTCCTCCCCTTCCTCGCCCAGCCAGCGTGGCTCAGGGGTTGAGCGTCGACCTATGAACCAGGAGGTCACAGTTCGATTCCCGGTCAGGGCACAGGCCCGGGTTGGGCTCGATCCCCGGTCAGGGGCGTGCAGGAGGCAGCCGGTCAATGGCTCTCACCATTGATGTTTCTCTCTCCCCCTCTCCCTTCCTCTCTCTCTAAAATCAATAAAAACATATTTTACAAAAAAGAAAAAGGAAAGTGCCCTCCCCACCACCAGGTGCCAAGTCAACCCCACACTCGGCTTCTGGCCTGTCCTAGGACCCTGGACCTGGGGGAGAAATCCCACCCTGGGGTAACTACGGGAAATGCACCGCCCCCCAGAAAGAGTGGGTGGATGTGACAGTATCTTACAAAACGTTAGGAGCCTGGGACTCGGGGTGTGTGGTCCAGCCCCTCAGGTCTGCTCTCAATTACCCATGGCTAGGGGCTAGATGTTCTCATCTCCCTCAGGTCTGTACTTCTCCAGCCACAGCGCTGGAGGCGAGGGAGAAAAGGGGGGCAGAGCCACGATGTCATAATGGCCCCTGTGACTCAGGCGTGGGGACCTTTCCCAGCAGGAGGGGCCTTTTTAAGGACAACCCAGGACACCTGTCCTTTCTTTCCTACCAGAGTGGCCAGAGTTCTGGCTACGAAGCCCATCCAAATACCGACCCGTTGACGCAAAGGTGCACAACGGTCCTCACTAAAGGCTGGCTGGTATTCGATGGAGTTCGATTCACTGAAACAGTGTTATACCAAACGGCAGTGCTGTGCTCCCCGCGGCCTGACATAGAGGGCGTAGGGGATTTAGCACGATCCGCCTGGCCGGCGTGGCTCAGCCGCTAGAGCGTCGCCCGCGCACCGAAAGGTCGCAGGTTCGATTCCCCGTCAGGCGGGACGCATGCCCGGAGGCAGCCAGCGGATGCGTCTCTCTCCCGTGGCTGTTTCTCTCCCCCTCCCCCTCCTCTCCTTTCCACTCTCTCTGGGAAGCAATGGGGACGGGAAATACCCTCTGGAAACCGAGGTGCCGAGACCTTACATGACTTACCCTGGTCTCACAGCTGATCAGTCACGGAGCCAACGTCTGGTCCCCAGCCTCAGGGTCACAGCCCCAGGGTCACAGCCACAGTCTCACTCTGAGACTCTGCTCCGAACAGCCACGTGGACTCACTCCAGCAGCAACGTGCTTTTCCAATGCCTCTGATTCTCACTGTTTTTAGAAAAAAATCCGAGAAACCTCTGTCCAGAAGCTTTAACAATTAGCTCAGCGAAAGAAGCCAGAGCGCAGAAAGGACACCTGGCATCCCTGGGCACAGAGCGGTGGCTGCCCGGCGCAGCGGTGGGAACGGCATAGGGACTGGGTGGGTAATAAAATGTTCTGTCTTGGTTGTCATGGTGGTGACACAGGTGGATAAACTTGTCCCCCCCCAAAAAATCAATAAAATGCACACCTAAGATGGGTACAGGTTACCCTATGTATGCAAATTATACCTCAACAACAGCTGAGACCCTCATCCACGCCGGCTGCCCTGCAGAGAGCCTCAAGCTGAGCGACAAGCGTGTGTGAGGTGGTAGCAGATGGATCCGAGGGTACGGAGAAGATCCCACAGGGAGCCCAGGGGAACAAGCGCACTGGGGCCCAGGATGGAGGGGTGGGTCCTACTCCAGCACGCCTCGTGCCCTTGTAAAGCGGAGAAATGCAGGCACAGACACAGATGCGCACGGAAAGAAGACACGGGGAGAACGCCGTGTGGAGGGGGAGGATTGGGGTGATGCGTCTGTAAGCCAAGGAGCGCCAGCGATGGCCAAAACCACCACCAGAACCAAGGAAAGAGCGCCCCCTGCAGGTTCCCGCGGGAATGCGGCCCTGCCACGCGCCGATTCTGGACTTGTCGCCTCCAGAACTGAGCCGGCACACGCCTGCTGTCCTAAGCCAAGCGTCTATGGCCCTTCCTACGGCAGCCCTAGCAACTCGGACAGTTGAAAACGAAGCCAGGCCCCCGTGGCCTGAACTTGGAACAATTCCGCAGGAGCCATCCTAGCTGCCGAGCTTTCCACAGGGTCGCCTGCAAGCTGCTATACATGTTACAGGCCAGCTTCTTTCTTTGCCCGATATTGTCTCTCTCACTCCCCTACAAGAGCACACGCAACCTCCCACCTCAGAGTCTGCTTTAGGGAACCCAACGGAAGGCGACACCCCACTCTGCCATCCCCTCGCGGCAGTCAGCGCACAACAAACCGCCTGGTGTTTTGAGGGCCACAGGCCTTGCTGTGCTGTGACTTATATTTTTATTACCGGTGCCTATTCATCATGTCAAAACAAGAAAAGAGCAGGAACGTGGACTTTAAATGCCTCACTTTTAAGACAACGGCAAAGCACTGTGTTCGTTACGCCGTGACGCTTTAGCTGGGCTAAACAATACAATATTATACATCTGCGTTCCCAGGCTCAGCAATCCACAGTACCCCTCGCTCGCCAGAGCGTGGTGAACATGAAACATAGAAATATTAAATTTTAAATCTCACCACAGCAGAATGTCTTCGCAAAAATAAAAAATGAAAATCAGTCTGCCAGCAGTTTCCAAATTGCTCATTCGTTAGCCAAGCGAGACAAGATGTTGACTAGTGGTGAGCTAATTAAATCATGTTTGATTGCAGCCGCTGAAAAATAATGTGTCCGGAGAAAATAAACTTAACACTGTTAGCCTTTCGGTGAGAATAGCTGCGCCAAGAGTCAAAGACACTGGGAATTAAATCAACAGTCAATTAGAAACACGCCAGATGATTTCAAGCGGTTTTCCTTGGCTCTTAATGAGCTGGCAGATGTCGCCAACCAGGTTCAGCTGCTGTTTGTGGGACGGGTGACTGCCAGGTTGGAAGGGGCTGGAGAATTTAGGCTCTATGAGGGGTCTGCGTGAGACCCACGCAAATGCTTGTTGAGGAAGCTGAGCAAACACTAATTCAGGGCACCCTGAAGTGGAATCTGCTAAGATGTGATAATGCTGACAGTGGCGAAAATATGTGTGGAGCCCCCCACCCCCAAAAAAGGCTTAGTTGGACAAATTTACAAAGTTTATGAAAACATAAAGTGCTTAAAACTTATGGGCATTCATTGTTTTTTTTAAAAAACATGTTTTTATTGATTTCAGAGAGAGGAAGGGAGAGGGAGAGAGAAACATCAGTGATGAGTCATTGACCAGCCACCTCCTGCTCGCCCCCTACTGGGGGTCGAGTCTGCAAATTGCCCCGTGATTTCCTGGTTCATAGTCAACGCTCAACCACTGAGCCACGCTGGCCGGGCTCAGTGTATTGTTCATCAGTGTTTCCAGGAAGCTGACCAGTTAGCCACTCCCACTGCTGAAAAGTCCATATGCAACCTACCCCAGACCACTTCTCCTTCCACACAAAGTGGTCACACAGTCAGAAACTCTGCCCGTTGAGAGGACCTCCCCTCCCCTTGACTTTCTGGGTTGCCCTTGAGTGAGGCTCTAGGTCAGCCCTGGTCTATCTGAGGGTGGCATACACACACTAAGCTTAACAATCCATAAATCAGGCTCAGACGTTTTCCTCCGTCAGCTGGTCCCGAGGGGTCCCCATGAGCCCACAGAATGAGCTGAGGGGATGGTGGTACAGCAGCTTGAGCGTCTAGCTTACCCGCCTACGCAGCTGTGTCGTCAGTTTCCCGTCGTCTGTTCAGGCTGCCATCAAAGAGCTCAGGGAGGATTGCCACGCTTCCTCAGACTCAGAGGGTTCAGGGGAACCTGGGGATTCAAGACTTGGGGGCCATCAACTCAAATGACCCCAGCCCACGTGCCAGAGTTCCATCCTTTCTCCTGCCCCAATCTGGACCAAGCGCCCTACCTTGGTGGAGAGTTTAACCTTCTTAAGAGGTTGGCCGCTCTGATGCTAAAGTCCCGGGCCCGCCCCTCAGCTTTCTCTGCCCTTC